AAAAAAAAACCTTTGTGACTATAGTGTTTTTCTGTTTAACTCAGGTTGTGTGGTTGATAAAGGATTTGCTGAATACAAATTTCACAGGAAATCTTTTCCTCACATGCTAAGCATAGGCTCTGGCTTACTAAAACTGATCGAGGCTAACCTTGATGGAGGGTTTTTGAAAGTGAGTTAGGGGTGTGTCTATCGTCAACTTATCAGGTGTTCTTTTGAAGATTTTTTGATTTGTAAAGAAACGGGTCGACGCTGGAATTTATCACGGCACAGTAAAATGCACTGCAACGTTACTACCAGAAGATGAATATCTACTCTGAGTAAAAGCTGTTGATAGAAACTTTGGAAAGAGTGGTTTCCCACCTAAGGTGAAAATGATCGTAACATCATTTAGGATACAAAATGTACTTAAGTCCTTGTTAATAATTACTTCCACTTTTACTTGCCTGGTGGCTCCATGACACGCATGGCAGTTGCTGAAGTTCTGAACTTGTACCAGCTAGGAGGTCTGCTATGTTCCTTCTTCAGAGCCTAAACGAGTGTGATGCAAATGATAATTATTTAGGTACTTCTTCTTGTGTTATTTTGCTCATCTATCCAAAGTTGGCTTGGTGACAATTTTAAATAGATAAATATTCATGAATGGCGGAACTATACTCTAAAACACCGAGGCGGAATAATCTGGAGATGCATATATTTTTAACCAATATCTGAAGGATATTAACTACCCCGAATTCAGCTCAGTATCAATTAAGCCACAAGTCAAATACCAGCAGATATTCATCGACAAAATGTGTTGTTTGGAGCCTCGTCTACGGAATAGGCGGTATTTGAAATGACTGCCGGCATCTATTTTTGACTTCAAACCATTATAAACATTTGCAAACTAAATTTAAATAACTTGTACAGGATAAAAATAGGCCATTGCTTTCCCGAAATGCGGAAAATGTTTGAACAATGCAATATATGGGGGTGGAAGGACTGGTCATGGAATATATCGGACAATGTTGTGTGCGTTCGGTATCAGAGACGCATTCAAATAAAATCTATTTCAAACTTTGCCACGCCTGAAGGATCCACACTATCTGCGATCGAAAAAAAAAATATATGTAGACTAATTTTTCGAGAATTAAATCCGCTGGATGTAAAGCGCTTTCTGAAGCACGCTTATGAATTTTAACAACCTTGAAAAGTTTGAGTTCCCTCATTATCTACCGCATGAGTGCACCTGTTTGGATGTCCTTCTGCTGAGCCAAATAACTTCAAAACATTTTCTAATGTGACACGTATGCGCTTTTCTACACTCAGTTGAATTAAGTTATGTCTAAAGGGATTCCATAAAAAAGTGGTGCACGACCAGATGGCATGAAAGTTTTCCGGGCATATATTTGGAAAATTTGCTATTTTCCTGTTTTATTTTTTTAAGAAAACAAATTTTGAGGTCAAGAATGCCTAAACTTTCTGATAGGGACTGATTTTTGCTATCTTTTGCTCCAGCAACAGACCAGTTCATGTGGGAAAGAAACGTGAATTTTTCGAATTTCTTCCATGTCGAGTGATGTATAAGAGAACTGTACTAGCAGATATTTCGCACAGGGAGGTTTCGTGTGAATCCAAAAAAGAAGAACGCATGTGTTTTGATGCTGCGTGCGAAGATTTTCATTTGGGAGAAAATAGTAAGTCTCTGTGGGATTCCGCTGTGTGCGATTCTTCGTCTTGGAATCAGGCTTTTGCAGATCGAGATATGTTCTTCTCAAACTCGTTAAATCATGTCGTTATTGCCCAATCAAAACGCCTCATTCTAGTCAGGTGAATGAGTTATGAACACAATGAAACACGAGTTGAAAACCACACATGCTTGGAAAACGATTTCAAACCCGTGAGCAAAATGTATTTTAATCTGCATATTCACAGAGTAAGACCAACAAATGAAGATGAACAGCTTTAATTTTTGAATCACATAAAGTTACAATACTCTTTAAAGCAAGCTTATTTACTGCTGACATTGAATGTAACAGCACAGTTATCAAAGTCCCAAAAGCAGAAAGAGCTTTTCTTTTCTAAATTTCATTCTCCCTCATTGATTGCGACCTTGTCTTTCGGTTCGGTTTCAACCTTGTTTGTACACTTCGGCTCTAAAATGGCACTTACATGGGAAACTCAACTTTCTCCTCCGGTTTTATGTACTTTTACGGACTTCGGAATAGCGCTGGTCACACAAGTTTCCTTTTCTTCACTAGTTTTTGGAGGTCTAAATTTGTACTCTTCTATCTGTATTGAGAAGTAACGTGCTTGCTCAGAAGTCACAAACAGCAAGGTAACAATGCGGAATTGAATGCAAATGAAATAATATCACAGATCAGCAAGCAGCAATTAGGTGGCAGGTTCACATATCACGTCTCAAACAAAATATTTGAATTCAGAAAACTTATTAAAATGATAATTTCTACTTATTTTCTTTGTTGGAGAAGTAATTTTAAAACCTCATGTTTCGGATTTCATCAAGTTTCTAAACGTTCGAAAACAATAAAACCACTCGGCCTGCGGCTTCATGGGTTGAAATGTTTTCTCGCGTTTGGAAACTTGATGAGATCCTCGCACTTGTCTCTGAAGTAGTAAAGAATAGTATAGTATAGAAAACGCATAGAATTTTGATTTTAAGCAGCAGTTTATTATTATCTCAAAACGTAACATAAATGCGTGCTTTGCCAAACAATATCCAGATTACACCACAGGAAGTAAGTTCCCATTCTAAAATGTGCCCTGCTTCCGACATGTGGCCAAGTAGCTCTATTGGTAGTAACACCCACCCTGTGAGGCACAGCTTCGAATCGCGTGAAACCCTGAAGGGTTCTTTTCCACAAATATTTAAATTGCAGGTCACCTGCAAGGATGATTGCCAAATTAACCTTCAGATTTTTAATGACTACGTGTTCAGTGCAAAAACTCCGTGTGATATACCCGACTGCTAACCTTATACCTAAATAGAAGCAACTATTTAGTTTAATTAGTCATAGCGACAAAGGTTTAATACACGTATATACCGTGTCGGTGGACGATGTCTGTTGAACTGTGAAAGTTCTGTTCAATATCGAAAGCTGATAAACGTTTAAATTCAAACTTTGAGTCTCTTTGCGATATTTATTCTGTCACGTACTGTAAACCAAGAGATAAGACTAGGTTAATATATTAGGTGGGTGCATAGACTGAGTGTCAGGATTTACCTCAACAGATTGAGACATTCCTCTGAGACAGTGATGCTAATATCGATAGCAAAAGATGTATCATTAGCAAGAAAGCTGCAGGAAAGTGGAAAATGGCTTTAAGATACTGATTAAATTGTAATATCTTTATTGCTTGCGAATGATAAGAACCTTAATTTAGTTCCTGCGAGATGTAAATGAACCAAGAATGTGGGTACCAAGTTCCATATTCGTGCTTTGCCGAGGTGCGTTCCTAGACGCCGAAAGGATCAAAGATCTCAGAGCTGGTTACAGAATGGTTGTTATTTTTCGTTGTTTATACTAAAAGGTAATATAATAAGCTATACACCCTCTACTCATATTCGCTTTGGCTCAGGGAGGCTCAGTTGCTGTCACGAAAATTGATGTTAAAAACAACAAAATATCTTAATTCTATTATTAGTTACAATAACTGACTCAATTTATCGTTCTTTAATTGCTTTTAAGGTTTGGTGGATTCTCAACGGACGTGTACAACTTGAGTTTTTTTCTTTTAATAAGTATTTTTTTTAACTTGTGACCAAGCGAACGAACGAGAATCTTTTACCAATGCAAGGAGACGAAATAGAAGCTCAAAGCGGAGATGTGGTTTATTCGTGTTTATTATATAAATATTGAAAAAAATATTTCATATTTCTAAAGCACCAAATTAGCCAGTCGACCTGACGTGGAAACCCCACCTAATTCTGGAAATGCTTCTTTTAAATAAAAAAATCGTTCTGCTTTAAACGAAGTTAATTCATGGTTCAGAGTAATCCTCGTAAAAAAAAATAAGGAATCCTGCGCGACAACTGAAAGTGTTAAGTCTATTTACTGGTTACCATGACAACAAAAAATATGCCATCGCGTCTGAAAAATACTTAAGTGTGATCATTGTCAGTATTGAAGATATCGTCTCACAGACATTAGATATTCGACTGATAGTAATGAATATCAGTGTTATATAATGTTCTTAACCTATTTTGATATTTATTAGATAAGTATATAAACAACCCCTGATATGTGGACTTCATGAAGCAAAGGACAACAAGCAAAGGCTAGAGGTAAACACAGTAAGTGATATTTGTTCTTTAATTATTTCAAAATCTGCTTTCTGCAATCATTGTCAGTTAAATAGAACATCTCACTTTTGTTGTGAAACTTGTATGGGTAGTTTCAGTTTCGAAAGATTTGGCGAAAAGTTTGACGAAATTGTAAAAACGGACAAAGTTCTGTAATGCCAACAATTCTGCAGACAATTTTGAATTCCGGAGTGAAGAAGGAAATTTTTAGAGAAACTTTAAAATTAAAAAGGTTGAGGTGTTCGTTGTTAGAAGTTATAGAAACTGGTCATTTGCCTTAGGCGTCAACGACGAAAACCATGGATCGAGAAAAATTGTAATTTCACTAAGAGATCTTTAACTCGCTCAGAGCCGATTTATCTTTTGATGCAACCCTTTGGAAAGCAGTGGTTGAACAGCTCGATGAAAAGTGTGGCGACATTGTTAAGGAAAATCAAAGGTCGATTTGGTCTGCTCCCTTTGCAGCAAGGCGTTAATTGTTTACTAGTTGTTCTGATTTTTAGACTATCCAAGAGGTTTTAAGCGCTTCTGCAATATTATAGTATGGTTCATGACTAACATGACTTAGAAGGTGTCGCTCTCAAAGTAGTTTTGTATTGTAATAGAGAACTGAAGTTATTCATGGAGTTAGATGTCCTTAATGGGACTTTACAGATCAAATCAAATAAGCTGTTGGTCTCGCTATTTTTCTCAAAGAAGTGAAACTGGTTCAAATTAAAATCTCCAATTACAATTTCAAAAGAAAGGAATTACTTCCAAACGTATGTTTTTCTCTTCATGTTCTATTTCCATCTGCAAGAACTGTTGCAGTGATACGAGGGATTTAAACACGCAAACTATCGTTAAAGGAGTGCCTTAGTCGTGTTTTTTTTTTTTTTGTAATGGCGTGTCTTCGCAACTGACTCATTGAGAGGAGAGCAAAACCAATTAATGCCTTATTAATTTCGATAATCAACTGAAAATGTCCTTGCTTATTATGTATTTTCAATTATAAACTTGTATCTTCGTCAAGGAAGCAATTCCCACACTGAAATGTTCTTATCACATATTGTTCTTCCTCAAGCTTGCTATATATACTGCAGAGATGTTACTAGTGCTCTTGCTGTCGACATTTAGTGCAGTATCAAGTCAAGACTGTCCACCATGTGAGTAAATGTTAAATCTGAATTACAATCAAAAAATGATAAACGTTTCCACTAAAAACTCAGGGCCACAGTTGGGACTGGAAAAAGAAAAACTGGTTTGTGAGCGCATTAGGTGTCCTATTCATACCGATGCATACTATTTCTGAAAGGGTAATCGATTTTTATTAACGTATGTAAGGTTTTACTTTTATTCTCTTATCATATGTCCTACTTCTTTAAAAGATTTCAATTTATGCAAGTGCTTTATATTTTTTTAGGTGTTTTCCAATAATGTTAATGTTTGGGACCTTATTTAGTATTTTCCACCCATGTACGTGTTTTGTTATTATTGAAAATATAATGTTTTGATTTTTAACGATGTGTTTTTCCTTTTATTAAACATCATAATGAGGCGAATATCAGTGAGTATTAAAAGTTTCCGTAATCTTGTCGGCAGATAGTTGCCTGGTGATACATTCAGTTCCTTCCTAGCCTTATCATTTGCGTAAATCATTTAACAATTAATTTGAAGAACATGCATTCTTTATCAATTGCTTACAGTCAGTATTTCATTTTATCTCTATATTGCAGTGGCAGAGGATGAACACTTTAGCTATGGAAAGACTAAAGGAGACGGTACTTTTTTCAGTGTAATCTTGTTTTTTTCTAGGGATGTGTTTCTTGGCCACGGCCATGTCTGTCTCGCAGACTTATACCCCACTCTCCCAATGAATGTTTTAAACTGAGTCCTTATATCAACAGCATTAATGAATTTATATTTTTATTGTACTTTACCGCGAGGAATAGTCAGAACCCTTTTTTAGACGATATCTTAGATTTAAGGGACCATAATCTCTTGTTTGTTTTTTTTAACTTACTAATGAGGCATTTCGAGGGACACGTTTTTTTTCTTTAATTGACGATATCATGTTATCGCTTGAGCCTTCTATCTAGTGATGATCCTGTTGATTCATATAAATAAGATGAAACTGAAATCAAAGCTTAATTTCTCGGTATAGTGCCTGGTCCTCCGGATTGGCACAAGAAATGGGAAGAATGTGGACATAGTCGCCAGTCCCCAATAAACATTGACAAGAGTGAGACCAAACACAAAGATTTCCCAACTCTGAAAATGACCTTTGACAACCCAAGAGGCCTGGTTACTGGAACACTAAAGAACAATGGTCATGCTCCGACTCTGGAAATTGATGAGGACAAAGGAACAGCAACACTTGAAGGAGGTGCCAAGGATGGTACTTACACTCTGAAACAGTTTCATGTTCACTTTGGCTGTAAAAACAATCGAGGATCTGAGCACACGGAAAATGGAAAACGTTATTCTGGGCAGGTAATGAAACTTTAAAATGGATTTATGGATTTCTAGTCAAAAGTGAACTTGTCTTGAACTTCTCTCGATCATGACACTTCTTATTTTACCTTGTGAAAATGCCTTACCCATGCGATCAGCATTCGGTCAAGTCTATATGCCCTAGGCTTAAGTGTTACAAATCTAGGGCGTAACTGTAACTAAGCCAAAAAGGCTAGAGGAGGTAATGGATGGCAAAGACTGTAATACGTTGAAAGCACGAAGTTTAGCGCAATGTTTTGTTAAAATCAAGCTCAAAACTCTTAAGTTGAAGGTAAATGTTGAAATGATACATTAGGCTGGAACTAAGAAATCCTCTTTCTTCTCCTTCTTTTTCCAGCTCCATTTGGTATTCAAGGATGCTAGTGGCGAGGTTTCCGTTGTTGCTCTGTGGCTCAAGGTATATTGTGTCAATATAGCATTGTAAGCATGCTCCGATCAATTGCCAACCGTTGTTCGGAAGGAGCAAAGGCAGGACTGAAACGGCAGAAATAAAATCTGAAATTTAAAAACACTATCTGCTCGCTTGAGCTGTACCAGCACTTCATATTAGGGAAGACAATCTCCCGAGCCTGAGGATTATAAAATTAGTGTTTGATTTGCTAAAAAAATAAGGATTAGGAACGCCTAAGGCCAAGAAAAATAAAAACAAAGAGATCTAAATGATCTACAGA